CTTGGCAGAGAGTAGGAAAGTGTGAGATCATGGACTTTTGTGGGAATAATCAAAAAGTGGACTACTATTTCAACAGCGAGAGACTCCAAACAAGTTCAGTGAAGAGGTGACGTGTACATGGAACACAAAAAGTTAGCGTGGAGGCACAGAAAGTAATTAAGAGGCAAATGGAATTTTGGCCTTTATTGCTCAGAGGTTGGAGTTTAAACAAAAGGGATGTCTAGTTACAACTGCATAGGGTTCTGAAGCACTGTGTAAGGTTTTCATAGCATTCTTAGAGTATGGAAGCAGGCTATTCAGCCCATCAAGTTCACACCAACCTTCTGAAGAATATCCCACCCAGACCCACCTCCTACCCTATCCCAGTAACCCTCCATTTCCCATGATTAATTCACCTAGTCTACACACTCATGGACACTATGGTAATTTATCATGGCGAATCCACCTAACGGGCACATCTTTGAACTGTGGGAGGAAAACCACGCAGACGCAGGAAGAATGGGCAAACTCCACACAGACAGTCACCCAGGGCTGGAATCCAAACCCAAGTCCCTGGCAACTTCAGAAATGGGATCCATTTCTGAAGAAGGGCCTAGGCCCGAAACGTCAGCCTTCCTGCTCCTCTGATGCTGCTTGGCCTGCTGTGTTCATCCAGCTCTACACCTTGTTATCTCAGATTCTCCAGCATCTGCAGTTCCTACTATCTCTGAAATTTTTGAAGTTGTTGCTTTCTCTTTCCAAGGTAAGGAAATATTATTTATGGTGTTTAGTTTTTCCACAACATACTTCATATTCAAAGTTCCTACTTGTTTCTCTTTCTTGCCTATTCATGCTGTCAATTCTGTGGGAGCAACGACATATAAAAAAAATGTCCTGAGCAGCTAAATAGAAGTTTTAAACATCAGGTCAATTCGTCAAAAGTAATGAATGACCTTACTGTGTTATGGATATTGCCAGGTAAATCTTGAAAACATATTAAAACAGGGCAAGTATAGAAATGTGGTGACCCTGAGGAGAATAGTGCACTTGGATGAGATAACATGCCTGCCTGCAATGTTCTGAAGTTTAAAAAACAAAAAAGAAGATCCATAGGATTAAAAAATACTGTATCCATGAGAAGTTAGCAGCATAGAAAACTGCATTTTGTTCTGTACAGATCCTTATTTAACTATACAAAACTCCTTTATTTGTCAACTACTTGTAAAACTCTACATCTTTTGTGTTTAGTTGAAGTATTTCTGGATCAATGTTTTGAGCTGTAAATTGCTAGGTTCAGTCAATGTGCTCTATGATCCATTTTCATGAGCCAACTTGTTTGTATTCAGTCATTTAAGGATAGAATTGGGCACAGGATTGATAAAATATCATTTTCTCCTTGATCCATATCAAGAACTGAACATGTAGGGCAAGGCTCAAAGTCATTATGACAATTCGGCCCATTTAGTCCATGCCAGCTCTCTATAAAGCAATCGAGTCCATCCCATTCCACTGCACTCTAACCTGTGTTGTCCCGCAAACTTGTTTCCCTTAAATGCCCATCCAAATTGCTTTTGAAGTCCTTCATTATCTCTTTTTCCCCCGTCAGGAAGTTCCGGGTCATTGCTATTCAATCAGTGGAAAAAAAAACGCTCCTCACAATCCCTTGCATTTCTTCTTGCCCAAAAGTTTTGTGTCTGTGATCCCGAGTTCTTGCACCATCAGCTCATAGTAGTGGTTTTCCTCTATCTATCTAATCAAAACCTGTCATAATCTTGGGAGACAGGAGACAAATGCTCCGTGTAGTAGTCCATGTTTGGTACATTGGAGATTCCACCTGCACTGAACCTTACAGTCTTCAAGGTCTACATTCGCCGAATGTAGTTCACACATAGCTCATCGACAATGCTGTATAGGGTTTCAAATCTGCACTGACAATAAATGTACAGCTTGCACAGTGTTTCAAACACAACAGCTTACTGCAAAATTAGAGACTGTTCAAGTTGTTTTACCTAGATAAAATACTCATCAAAAAAACAGTTCTATGGTAATCTAAATTTCCAAGTCACTGAAATGCATTTGATTGTCTCTCTCTTGTGTTCCTCTGTGCTCTCTTCCCAAGCCTTTATTTCTGTCAAACAGATACCTTTTGCAGGTCATCATCATTTGGAGGTGCCGGTGTTGGACTGGGGTGCCGAAAGTCAGAAATCACATGACACTAAGTAATAGTCCAACAGGTTTATTTGACATCACAAGATTTCAGAGTGCTGCCCCTTCGTCAGGTCTGACATATTCTGATGAAGGGGCAGTGCTCTGAAAGCTTTTGATTTCAAATAAACCTGTTGGACTATAACCTGGTGTCGTGTGATTTCTGACCAGGTCATCATGAGCAGCAAACCTGCGCTTTTTTAGTTCACCGCTTTGCTTAGCCAAGTCCCCTTCCTTAGATTTTGAATCGGTCCATACTTTATTATTTTTGTGCCAGTCTTCAGTTCTTTTCTGAATCTTTAAAGAGTATTGCAGTAGTCTTGAACATATTAATATCTTATATGCATTCATCGCTCGCTTATAGATAATGGAAGTTAGTTATGAATCAACCGAAGGGTGAAAATGTACCATACTCACCATTTGGGGTGCAACATTCACGTTTGCTAGGCCTAAGGTTTTAGGTAAGATCTTGGTTTGAGAAACAATGTTGGAAACTGATGCTGCAACCATGGATATGCTATCTGGAAACAAATGACCAAACCAAAAATGTATTAGTCAATCACTAATGACTCTAATAGATTCTTGAGATAATCTATTTAAGATTCACATCAAATCCCTCTTCTTCTATCAGCAAGTTTTGATGTACTGTATCCGTGGTAGGACTATATCACATGCCAGAATAATATCACAAAATGCTGGATGCTCTACATGGTTTTGGCTTTCTTTTCTGACTGTTTCATAGTGCAAGACATTGTTCTGCTTTTCTCATTAAAGAAACCAAATGCATGCCAAATTAATTGCTTTAAATGAGAATTCAAAGTGGAGTTAAAAGTCAGACTAAATATTAGGAGGGAAAGGATTGATGCTAATTAAACTAAAAAGACTTTTACAAGCAAAATATTCCTTACAAAGAATTGAAAACAGGTCCATAGTTTCTTTGCAAGAAACAAAGATACCCTGCCTCATTTGATCCTGTGGACAACTATTTATCTTTTTAGCTGAGCAACTACAATACAAGGTAATGACCAGCCACCATCTAGGTGTCAATGCTGTATTTATCTGGACGCCATGAAGCGCTTATGTGAATTAGTGATTGACACAAGGAAGCCTAAATTCTATTAAATCAACCTAAGTGGCACACATTAGAAGAAAGGCTTAAAAATGCAGTAATTTATGGCTTTTACCTTTAAAGTATTATGGAAGCCCAGTGTTCGTGATTCTAAACCTCATTTTATGGCTCTCAGTTCTTAAGTTTTGTTTGAAGCACTTACAGAATTTCTTGCAGTGATCTTTTTAGCAGAAGCTTCAAGAGTTCTGTGCCGCTATAAAATCAGAAAGTCCACTCTCAACAGAAGTGTGAGAAAGATGACACTATTTTACCTTGTCCAGCCAGATACAGGCAGGTTTGTGTGCATCACTTAAATGTATAAATATCCCTGAAATCAAAGCCGATAAAACTTAAAGCCAGGTACAGCTACCAGCACACAGAGCTCCTCTACAGACTAAAGTTCATCACTGGGACTTCTCAGGATCGATCCAAAGAAAGCAAAAGTAAACATTTGCACCAGCTCATAAAAAGTAATATCTGTATACATTTTGGAACCAATGCCAATAAAGTATATAGACTTTAATCTATCCAAAAGGCTGACAGCTGCTGCTATTCTGTCAGTCAGCGAAGGGCCTAAACTTAAATTAATCTCACCAAGGTATATCAAAGTTCGAACTCCACTCTAATTATATAGCTATCAAGGAGTTAAATGCAGAATTAATATGACATTGACAATTCAATTCACAAAGACAGTCTGGTAATCAATCATATCAATTAAAATAAAAGCACTATAGACCCCAGCACTTTCTGTTTTGCTTAACCATATCTATTAATCAGTTGTAAACTCAGTGCTTAAACTTACAGGGTGTTGGCTATGATTCTGAGGCTAATAAACAACCATCAGTTCAGTACTGTTAACTAACTTCTGTAATCATTGGTAAGAAAGGTTTAATTCGTTCACAGCAAGTGAAAACCCAATTAGGAGGCTGGCACTCTTGCATGGTATTGGTTGCTGTAAGGTCATTTGGCTAGTCAAACTCAGTTATTATTAACTCCAAAGCAAAAAATGAATGAGCAGAGTGTTAAGGGGAATGGCTAGCCTGGTGTCCTTGATGAATAACCTTGGCAGGGCATTGGAATCACTACAAAAGCCTTTCTTGGCATAATTTGATTTTGTGTGAAAATTCCAGCATTTATAGTTTTATCTTTTAGTTTTTCTGGTATGCACATTTTAAGAAGTTTGTGCTTTAATTTCTCCCTCTGTTTGAGTTATGTTATTGTTGCACACTGCCCCATGACTGCAAAAGGAGACATAGATGACCGAGTTGAAAGTTTCTGCTCCATGATGACAAATTCACCCCTCCAGCTGATCAATGAACTTCAAATTTACTGAATAGATCACCTCAAACCCAGAAAGAAGAGTCATTGAGCTAGTCAAAACATTTGAGGATAAAGATCAGCAAGGTGGGGACAGTTACTCAAATAAACGTTTCATACACAAATACAGAAAGACTTAAAATGAAACAAACAAGCTAGAAGCATTAATTCAACTCTCACGTAATAGTTATCACTGAACCCTGTATCTAAATCTGGCAGGACTGGATGCCATACATTAGGCTCCAATTAGGGACCATTAAACCTATAAACAGCAATCTGAACACCCAGAAATTTCACCAGTAGAATGACACCATACAATTTCAAAGCGTGGAGCTGGAGGAACACAGCAGGCCAGACAGCATCAGAGGAGCAGGGAAGCTGACATTTCGGGTTGGGACCCTTCTTCAGAAATCTTTGTTGTCTCTGACTCCAGCATCTGCAGTTCTTGCTATCTCAGTGATTTATAACCATACGATTTCACATGTTTTTTTAAACAAAACACAAACTTTACTGTATATGGAATAAATTAATCAAAGCAAATATGCGCCATTAATATTATTTATTACCACATCCAAAGAAATGTTTCATGTTACAACATGTTGAAGTTATTTACTTTTGTAAGGATTGCCCAAAGGCATGTCTCTTAAACTATTGTAATGATCCTCAGTCCCATCCATTCTCAGAGGTAAACTTTCATTTACTTATTCTTGACAATGGACACCTTAGTCTATCGTTCTGGTTACTACCAAAAACCTTCTGCTACTATATTCTGAGATGAGGATGAGGGGACCACAGTCGATTTTTTCCACAAGGCTCAAACTAGGCATTCTTCCAACTGCTTTCCCCTCAAGGAAGCCAAACTGAGATTACTGACCTGCATTCCATGTGGCAGAGGATGAAGTTAGCTTTTTCTCTGCTTTCGATGCAGGCCTAACTATCAGTAATCTACTGAGCTATCTCCTCACAATGACATACACCACACTCCAAAACAAGCTGCCAGTGAACTCTCACCAAACACCCAGATAAATTGAAACCAGAGAATCTTCTGACATCCCACCCATCTCCATGACAAAATGCTGTGCTGGGATGTTCTCAAATAGACCTTCAGGTTAATTATGTTTCATAAGCAATGGTTTCTTTGATCTGATGAACTAAATTGCTTTTCAATGAATGCTTTCGAACTGATTTAGCTCTAATTCACAAAACGAAACATCTGTTTGGACTGTCAGTTCTGAGGAAGGGTCACCAGACCTGAAACATTAACTCGGATTTCTCTTCACAGATGCTGCTAGGCCTGCTGAGCTTTTCCTACAATTTCTGTTTTTGTACCTGTTTGGACTGCCCTGTCTGAAGTGAGCACAGAGACCAAGCCCCCAAAAGATACTCAGGCAATTTTCTCAGCACATGATTTGTTCCTGTGGATTTTTTCACATGGTCATCCGTGGATGGAACAAAAAGAAAACCACACAATACATTCAAGAACTAATAAATAGATGTTTTACCTCCAAGAGCTGGAACTGATGACAATTTAAGTAGTTTCAGAGGCTGTGACGTACCGTTTGTGTGACCCTTACAAAAGTAAATACATTTAAGATACTGCAATATAGAAGAGAATTCTTGAGAGAAATGAGAATTGATTCTAAGAGCACAGCATGTGTTAGTGTAGCTGCTGCTTCTGATAGAAGCACAGTCTGCCACCTCTCCTAATGGACTGAATTGTTAAAAGGCAAAGTTCAGTGAAGCAAGATAGGCAACAAGATGCCAAGTTTCATTTTTGGTCAATGATATGTTAATTCATTTCAGCCTGGATGACAAAACACTAAAGTTGGTTGCAGCTCTCACTCTCTCTTGTTCACTATTTAGTAAAATCTACCCCTCCATTCTAATGTACATGTGCATGAGCTTCGTTGGCTGAGGGTTAAACCTAGCTATGATTCCCTTCTATAGTTGAAGACAACCATGGCTGCAACCAAATCACAAACTTTAATGGGCAAAATAGCCCCTACTGGGACTCTGTAACGACACAAGCAAAATATGATTAACATAACTTGACAGAATCTTATCAAACCAAAATAACACTGTCCAGGGTGACAATGTACCCCTGCCCCTGTGGTGCCTGTCACCAAAAGCCCTCCCCGTGCCACTGGACTCTGCATGCTCCCTCACAATGGAGGCCAGTGGTTGCAACCACAGGAGAGGGGTCGACCATCAGGTACCATGACCCCCTCCATGGCTCGCTGCCTGGACGGATTAATGGCCAAAAAAACGAAAGAACTGCAAATGCGGGAAATCAGAAACAAGAACAAAAACAGATATTACTGGAAAAACTCAGCAAGTCTGGCAGCATCTGTGGAGAGAAACAGTTAATGTTTTGGGTCCAGAGACCCATCGTCAGGACTGACAGCAGTTAGGAAAAGGTTATTTATACAGAAGATGGAGCCTGGGGAGGTGGGAGAGTAAATGACAGCTGGAGTTAGAGCCCAAAGAGAGAGAAAACCAGCTGGTTAAAAGGGGGAACGAATAGCTGCTAACGGGGACTGTTAGTACTGACAATGGGTTGTGTATAGCTTAACTGCCCTCTGGGCAATTAGGGATGGGCAATAAATGCTGCCTAGCCAGTGATGCCCTCATCCCATGAATAAATAAAAAACATCTACCTGTTGCACAGAATTACAGGTACAATTTTGCTGTAATGAATCAAACATACTGCTAAACTTAAAGTAACAATCATATTTCAGTGAGGCACATCGCCATCACATCACCACACTTTCAGATAGCCAGTTGGCGGATTTATGTAAATGAAAATCCTCAAAAGTGCTCATATTCCTGTTCAATAAAAGAACACGGATGTCTTGTAAATGACCAAGGGCACACACAGAATGCTTGCGATCATTTTACAGATAACAATTACAAAAATGTTTTAGCAGGCAAGAAAGAATCTGTGCAATAAAACATGTGAGAGCCATTACTGCTTTTCTTTGCAAGGAGAAAGCAGGAACATGGGACTTTAAAACCAGTCCTAGAAGATGTCAAAAGAGCTGCCTTTTTTCCAAGTTTACGAGTTAATTGGCTGGGACTTGGAAGAGCCCAAATTCT